AGGACTTCTCTTGTTAATCAATGGGTAAATATAGAAATTGGAATGTGTTATAGTGTGATTCATTTGCTTTTCTTCGTTTCTTTGTATCATACAGTACAGATACTATGTACAATATACATAGACGTACTCTTTGGTTCTATTTTTTCTTCTGATTTTAGCTTAGAGTCAACGAGTGAAAATGATATACAAGGTAAAAATTATTCAATATGAAAGTGACGTATCAGAACAAGAGATTGTGAAAGAAAATGATGAAATAAATGTAAATGAAAGATCTTACTATTATTTATTTTCTATATCATGCAGGCAGTAAATTGTTAATTATGTAGAATAAACTGATCATTTTTAATTATTTATTTTACTGACCACTTAAATCATAGCCTAAACAGTATTACTTACAAGTAAAAATAATGGACTAATAATATACCAAATTGATCGCCAAAATAAAGATGGTCTTGTACCAATCATTGATTTAATATCATCTGCAAGTCGATTGACACCTAAAATAAATTTTCAATAAATAATTTATTTTAATAAAATAAAATTTTACCATAAAACCATGAAACAGCAATACATTCAATAAATACAACAAGAAGAATAGCAGGTGCAACAGCAATTTCATTCATTAAATTAACAATATAATCACCACCATAAGTGCATGTTGGTAATGCTCCCAAATAGCATATAACAAGAACACCTAATACAAATAAAGATCGATGACGTCCAAATTTATTTGGAAATTCATCACATAAACCAGTAATAATTGATTCAAGACCACCAAACTAAATTCAATAAAAAATAAAAAAAATAGTCATTTCAACATTTAAAAAGAATTAAAATTCTTACTGTACTATCAATGCCTAAAGTGATTAACATAAAAAAGAAAAGAATTGACCATAATGTTGACCAATTCATTAATGCAATTGTATGTGGATAAACAATAAAAACAAGTTCTGAACCTATTATTTTAAATAATAAATTTATTTCAATTTTGTTAAATATTTAATATTTACCTTGATCTTCAACAACTTGTTCAACTGTCTTTTGTGATACACTAGCCATATGACCAAGTGTTGAAAAAACAACAAAACCAGCTAGAATTGATGTTGCACAATTAATTGTACTAGTTACTAATGCATCTCTAGAACAACATAATGATATATCATACTCAAAAAAAATCTTATTTTTTTTTTTTTTACCGATAGCAATTATTATGAAATTTATTATATGATGATAAAGCTAATAGAACACCAAAACCTGGTCCAAGTGAAAAAAATATTTGTGTTGCTGCCGCATTCCAAATCTAGAAAATTCAATTACATATAATATTTATTTGACAATGATAATTTATTTTTACAGAAAAACTTTTTAATAATTCCAGTTTCGGTTCAAGATAATATTTAATTCCAAGTGATGCACCTGAAAGAGTAACACCACGAATTAATAATATTACTAGAACAATATATGGTGCTACAGCAGTAATCCATACTGCCTAATAAAAAACAACAACAACAAAAGAAAAAGAAATATTGTTGTATATTAATTAATATAAAATTACTTTTCCAGAACTTTTAATTCCTTTCCAAAGTGCAAAATAGACAACAACAAAGACAATAAATAGATATAGAGCAAGTTCCCATTTAATTTTTCCTAAATTATTAAATCCATCGGCTTTATCTACTTCTTGAAGTTGTCGACTTGAAAGAAAAGAAAAATAACAAAAAATTTTTATCAAAAAAAAAAAAAGAACCAAAATCTAATCTAAACTTTACTAAAAATATTCTTCAGTTGAATAAACAAATCGTGTACAATTAATCATCGTTTTATTGAATATTTGTTTTGTTAAATTAGCTAATTTTAAGTTATTTTGATATTCTGTTATATCAGCTGGAACACAACATTCAGTATTCCATGGATGACCACAATGTTTCCATGGTAATTCAGATCCAATACTATGAAATGACTTAACTAAATAAAAAACAGCCCATGTGATTATTGTATTGTAAAACATAGCCATCATGAAATTAATTAATAATGTTGCCCAACCAACTCCTTTTACCAATGGACAAATCTATGAATGAAAAATAAATTATTCAATCTAATATTTCAACATGAAACAAAAACAGCTTTTAGGCCAATTTGAACCATGATGTAACACCTGCTGCTCATCACACGAAGATTGCTTTATGCTATCTATTGTAAGAAACATTTCATCATCATGCTTCTACTGAATATTTCAGAAATGTAACAAGGAAATAGTTCCTATATTAGAATGAGACATTATTAATATACGGTCTTTGATTGCATATCAACAAGGTCTGTCACGATCTGTGACGCTGAGTTTACTAATCAGGAAACTACCCGAATTGATACTTACCATTCGAGCTCATAGTATGACCAGAAGGAGGTTTCGGTGAGACTAGAAAAAATCTATAAGAGTTCGTCCCCATGGACCTTCGCAGGCGAGTTATACTAGGTGGATTGAATTTTTGACTCATTTGTAACAGTCTCCGAAAAATCAAATCATGAAATTTTGATTTCAAACTTTACCTATAGATAGGTCTACTGACTTAGAATATCCCGATAATTTTAGCCGAAAAGAACATTCCTTCGTCAAGACATAGAATTTCCAAAAATAGCCTTTTGTCACATGTATATCACAAAAATCAAGTTCAATTGAACATTCAATAACTTGATGAAGGAACGTTCTTTGCAACTGAAATTATCAGGATATTCTAAGAATCATTAGATCTATCTATAGACAGAATTTTAGATCAAAACACCGTTGTTTAGTTTTCTTTGGAACTGCCTACAAATGAGTCGAAAATCCAGAAAATCGGCCATAACTAAGTGCAAAAGGTTAATGAGGACGAACAATTTTAGGCTTTTGCTAGTCTCACCAAGGCTTCCTTCTGGATTCAATATGGATTCAAATGGCGGGTGTCACTTGGGGTAGTTCTCTTGTAAGATGTCTGTGATGAGCCGTTTCTACAGTAACGTTTATCACAATCTGTAGAGTGGGGAGCACAGCGGACAGCTAGGTGACAAAATCGATTTCTGAGATTTGAACCTCTGTTATAGCTGACATTGAAGCTGCTATGTATATACATTTAACTGCACCTTAGATTTTGATTCCAAGATGACTAATCATCTTCCGGCAGTTATTACAAAGTAGGTGAAATAGATGAACATTACTAATAGGGTCAAACAAGTAAAGTGTATGTTTCAAATTGAAGTTCTAATTACATTCATTAGATATTATACAGTCATTTAGCGTTATATATTTACTATATACTACAGATATTTTGCACTTCATGAAGTTCCTTCTACTCCAATAGTATAAAAATCTACTTGTAATATACTGAAAAATAATGATTGGTGAATAATGCAACTCTTTCGCCAGATTTTCTCGGGACTTACATTTAAATTTTAATTTACTATCGAATAGAGCACGTCATCAATCAACTTTTGTAGATGTGCAAAGATACAGATCTAAGCCCCTATTGAGATACGATGTGTCAAACTTAACCTTCGACGCAAACCCATTCATAATAGTTTGTACTTATCTGTCAGATCGATTAAATTTTCAATAGTTAATAGAAACTCCAAGATACACATTTTCAAAGTTTTTACATTGATTGTTTGGTTTTAAACATAATCCATACATAGTTTCTAACTTTGTAGTTCTCATCGGGAAACATTGATAACTCATGAGGGAACCTTTTCAAGTGCTAAATCATTTCTGGATCGAAACTATAGTCATTCGATCAGTACTGTTGAGCGTTGAGAAATGCGAGAATGATTTTGTTTTCCAGACACTTGTTCGTATGATATCGAATTTTTTACTAGATTTTTCAACAAAACTTCGTAGTACCTCCTCAGCTTATGTTGAAAGCTGGCTTTCGAGTTTCGACTTGAAACTTTCTATAAATAATGTTCTCAATATGACTAATTCATTGTGAAAGTTTCAGCTGTTTTTCGTTGATTCTGTCATGAGATACGCATATCCAAAATTTTATTCTGTGCAAAAGTAAATTTTGTGCTTATATTCATATCTCAAGAGATGAGCAAAGAAAAAAGCTGTAACTTTCACAATGAACTATTCACACTGAGAACATTATTTGTGCAAAA